TATTATAATTTAATTACATAAATATAAACTGGCTGATAAAACTACACTCTCCGCTTTTTATATCGTGATTTAAAAAATAATGTATAATATTTAAAACTAGTAGTCACCCGCGACTTCGGCACCGCGGTCTGTGTGCCAATTTTCATAAAAATCTGTTGAGCCGTTCCGGAGATACCTCCAAACAAACATCCATCGATCCATCCATATAAACTTTCGAATTTATAATATTTGTAAGATATATAGATAGATAATGTCAATTTGCGCAACAACAAACGCGCACGTATTAAAATTAGTTTTTTGAACAATTTCTTTCATTTTTGATTTAGATGGAATGTACCCCCGAGATCCGACTATGAGAGATGAGATGTCGCGTGCCACGATTTACATCACCCGGTGGGTTGGCCAGCGACCTAATTATGCGTAAACTAACTGCGTATTGGACGATGTAACGGTTCAAGAATGTGGTCGCGCCCGTTAGTTGTGAGTCTGCGGAAACTTTAGGCGATTGAAAGTTATCAAAAAATACTAAATATTATAATGATCTAGACAAATATTTACCACAACAACGAATATATCCTTATAAAATGATATTATATCCTTTTTGTTGCGTTTAACTGACATATAAAAATATCGGGTACCTTTTCCTAATGTAAAACATTATTACTATATATTATAGAACATAATTATTATATTACAGTTAATTGCTTCTAAAAACGAAGTTGGCTTAAAGTTTCATTCATGATTTAAGTATGTTTCTAAAAATTAATCTTACCATATTAACGCTGGTTAGGTCACGTGAAATTATATTATAAATAGATTATGGTGCTTAAGGTCATTTGCACAATTAAACGTTGACTATGGAGAACATTACCATAAGTTTAATAAATATCTTTCTTTCTCTGGGGCTCTATTTCTTTTGCATATCATCAACAACCGTAAGTTGCACAAACTATTTCTAAGAACAATGTGAAATTTTACAAATACTGTGAATTCGTCATCGTTGACAAAAATATGCAATGCTTTATGATGGCAGTATAATGTGCTTTGCGTCACCGAGAAAGCACTACTTTCACGGATCGAGACGAGTCATCGTTGACGGTTACGTCAGATTAGTATTAGCCAAATATGATCAACTGATGCATGGACCGTTCAAAGTATCCGGGTTCTTCTCTGCTCTCCGTGACTTCTAGTTAGGAAGACAAGTTTTATTAGTTAATTACCTTTGAACAATTTTCTTCTTCATAACATATTCATTACTATGTGCATAATTTCCTTTTGTCAGCAATGCAAGCAAGATTTTTCTTATGTTTTGTTGTTGTTGATGTTTTACTTATTTAAACATCTAATGGGTCTAGCTCCTGATATTAAAATTATCGTTACTAATGATGTCACATCTATAAAGGTGTTAGCACTTGTTGTGTTAAGCATGTCAGATGGTGACCCGGCTGACCGCGGGACCTGTTTGCACCGTTGCGCGCGTCGGACACGTAAATGAACCGTGTTTTTAGTACGATTATAAGTGGAATACGAAGGCGATACGAAATTAAGCTGTGGTGAGATTAAATTACCTCTCACAACTGTCACTGCATTGTTGTGCGCGCCACTGGGTTATTGATCAACTAGCTATTGCTTGCGACTCTGTTAACACGATTTAAAAGAACTTAGTAAGTTGACCTATGCGTTCTTCCAGACTAGATCCGGTGTTCCGTAGAAACCTTCTAACAACCGTATTTTTTACATTATTAGTAAGAGAATAATACAAGTTAATTTCACATTTATGTTCATAAAGGCGATGTTCATGGTAGTTTTAATATCATGTCTTGATTTTTCTTCAATTAACAAAGGTATAGGCAAAAGCTTTTAGTAAAGTTAAGCTTGTTATCAAACAAGGCTTTCCGCATCAACGTAATTGCTCGTTATCGGCCAAAGACCTTCAGATAGAAAGCTGCGCAAACAAAATCCTACATTTTTGTCTTCGTAAAATTGTTGTGCAATCACAAATTTATTATGATAAAACGAATTCGTGACAGTTTATTGCGTTTCTTTTGATATGATGACTAGTTACGATAAATAAAAAGATAAGAACACCTAAGAAAAGAGAATTTTATAATTTTCAATTTCAATAAAAAAATCTTTATGTAAAGAATTAGTTAAATGTGAATGAATTAAAACCATTCCGTATTACTAGTTTCTACTCACTATTATAAAAATCCTGATGACGATTTTTTAATTGTGTTTTTTTAGAAATTATATTTAAGTACGAATTACTAATAAAATGATGAAATATGAATAATATTTTCGATTTTACCGATAGAAAAAGTTAAGTTTATGTTTAAGTTGATTATTGATAAAACACGAATAAAATGACATTTTCTGAAAAATGATTCCTAGCTAGATCGATTTATCGCCCCCGAAACCCCTTATATACTAAATTTTATGAAAATCGTTGGAGCCGATTCCGAGATTCCAATTATAATATATATATACAAGAATTGCTCATTTAAAGATGAATACAAAAAGACAACTTCTATAGTCCTTTTTCGTATGTAAAACTATAATTCTGATTAGTTAAAAAAAACATTTACATGAAACTAAAAGTAAAACATATTAAGTAGTAAATGCCGTGAACGTACAATTTCCTTGGTGATATTACATTTAGGTCACTACGGTCGTTCTGTACAGGTAAACCATAATTCTAACATTACCATAAAAACGTGCGTATTATTCAATTTGTACTAAGACTACATTCACACTTTCACTTGTTTTTAAGCAATTATCACAAGACTTATGTTGCACTTTATAGACGATTTACACCAGCTCGACTTGATCCTTGTTTGTTTACATTTCTTAGTTAAAATATAACTACTACGAAGTGACCCACTGAACGAGATATTTTCGTACTTACGAGTACATAGTAGTATTGAATGAAGTCTGCCTCAGGGTAGAAAGTTAACGTTTAAAGTCGTTTTCTAGAAAGTTATTCGTGTAGATAGAATAGAATATTGTATCCATTTTAACCTAACCTCTTTGCCATTAAAGTAGCTATATGAAATATAAGGTTTACCAGAACCGATGCTACTAAAATCAGCAATAAATATCAATAAAGAGCTCAAACAAAACCTCCTTGGTTCAATAACAAAGCATCATTTCATCTTGCTAAATTCACGTAGACTACAATCCACTTTCCCTGTAAGTAATCTTATTCTGTCTGAAAATTTTGGTCAACTAAGTAAAAAAACTAACCCACACAAACGTCGGTTAATTGAAAAAGCTAACCCAAAAAAATAAGCCACTGTCAGCTGGAAAAATAATAATGTTCTGAAGATAGTTTATCAATTGTAAAAAATTAATTTATCTTGATACGCTCTCGCGAATGGGGTCTGTGCCCGTGGAATTGTTGAGGTCACCACGCTTTCTTAGGCCAAGTAATGGCGCGTCCATGTTTACAAGAAGCCAATTGTAAAGCTGAAATACACTCAGGTATTGCGGATTGAATTATAAAATGTCACATTGATTTTAAGATAATCAAAAATAATTTAAAGATAATCTAATAACGTAAATCGTTTCCCATTTCAAAAAGAACTTAGCCTGTAGTAACATGGAATTCAACTTTTATAATACATGTAGTTTTCTCTTAGTCTTTCTTAGTGATGACTAATAAACATTTTATTTTAGTGAGATGAATTATTACATCTTAAAGATAATTTGAAGTGCTAACGAAAGCTAATGCATCAAAAAATGAACAATGTTATATAATGGTATTTGATTTTTTTTCTTCCTTATACACTCGTGCAGGCCTCTGTAGCGATCCTCCCATAGAGACAAGTATTAAACAATGTTGAGTTCAAGTTAACTGACACGCTCTGCTAAACTTTCACTTACGTGCTGACCGCGGGTCAATGAACGCCGGAATTTATAATATTCGCAATTTTTTTCACTATTGATTACAAAATAACGAAACATAAAATTTAACGGCCATAAATTTTGAATATAGTTTTTACTCTTTTCTTAGAAATCTTTAAAAAAGATTAATAGTGCATTATTAGTAGGTACATTAAACGGAATTAAAAAGGAAACAGAAAAAGACAGATTCGGTTACATTAAATCCAACTTCGATAAGGAATAATCTGAGCCTCGCTTAGTGTAATAATTACCCCTTTCACAAATTGCAATTATAAAATTGTGTACTTTCGCTAAAATTTAACCTGACACGGATCATTTCAATCACGAATCAATTCGAATTTGGAACGTTTCACGGAGATTAGAACACCGGTGACGCTTTAAATAATTCGTCATGCAATAGTCAGACAGAAAAGCTGTAGGCGACGTCCAGCGTCGATGGGAGAGCTCTGCATTTTAAAGACGCCATGGCGAAGTCACCAATGTTGTGCTCCTTGGCATCTTTGTTATCCCAGACTATACTAGCCATAGCTTACTCCCAGTCATTTTCTTTATTTCATTGCCGAGAATTCTCTAGATACTAGGGTTGGCAACTGAGTACGATACGTAGAGGATCGCCATAGCGTAAATAAGCAGCAGCTTGACAGACGGTTCTTAGCAACATTATGATTAATTAAACTCGAAGCTTTATCGATTAAATTTACATAAATGGAATTAGCAGATTTATTGTAATAATTCCTCGTACATGAAAGTAGAAGACATTAGAAAGTGAATGCGTAGATGCGGATGTCATATATTTTTACATTGCACATAAAAATATCAAAAAAGTTTGAGAATACAACAAAAGTATTTCAAAAATGTTGCGATCTTTCAAGTAATTTATACCTGGATCCTTTTTTTCTAAGCAGGCTTTTTACACTCCGACTTTGGAATGCAGCGTGAATGATGCATCTCATGTTGAAATTATTTCTGAATTGTATTCTGTTTAGTTTCTATGAGTCCATATTGATTAAATAATATACTTTGCTTACAATACCATATCTCAAGATTGTTTAAATAAATTATAAAACCATTATAAGTTTATTTAACTTTAATTCAATAAATATGTTCATAGAATTTATATTACAATTAGACAACGATGACGTCACGTAATAAATACCCTGAAACACGGACTTTATTTTAACGTGCGTTTTGAGTTTGCAATTTAAAATCGCACAAGGAGGCGTCGCAAAGGAATGACAATTTCGTAATCCTGAGTAGATGGTTCTTGGTCAGGACGAATTGCTATTGGATAGACCTCTATCACGTGAAAAATAAGGTGCGAAAAAAAGATCAACGAGTAAGCAGGTTGCCGCGATTGCGCTGAGGGACACTTTTATGACGACTTGTCGCTTAAGAGGCACTCCCAGCACTCCGAGCAGCTCTGCCACCACATGTGTTAGCTGGCTGGCGCTTTTCCATCTCCGGTAGATGACACCCGCGTTAACCGCCAATAAAGCAGCACCGGTGCCGCATAAGTATGCCTGCACAATTGTCAAATGAACATTATGTTTTCTACATTAGTGTAACAGAATGCTCAACAAAGCTCTATTACCTATTGTAAGGACAACCATTTCTCTCTTATATTATTCAAAGAATCTTGCCAGAAGTTCCGGGCCTTATGGTCAATTACTTCAACTCGCGGGGTTTATTAATAATTATTGTTTAGTAACATTTGTACTATTCGTATTATACATATTATCAGTATCCAAATCTTTAGGAGGTACCAAGTACAGGATCGGAACAGACTTAAAAGAGAAGATAATTTACATTTAGAAAATAAAGCAATTAAATATAGCGTTTGCAAAGTTTACCTGGATGGCATGACCGCGGCAATTGGTAGAGCCGGCGCACAGAGCTAGGCCAAGCACAGCGATGCAATACGTTATGACGACGCCGCCCGTCACCGACTGCTCCCACCGAAACAGCCGCAAAGAGCGCAGGTGCACCGTCAACATGCACGCTAACACCACCAAAGTGCCCAGGCGCAGCAGCAACAGGGAACTCTTGAAAGTCGAATCATTATCCCTTTGAACTTTTTCTAATACAGACATATTTTGACAAATTATATGTTAACATTTTATAACCATGACTTGCAAGTGACTTTCTGTTGACATTTTGCATTTTGTTGCTAGAGTTTCTTTTACAGATTATTTTTGTTTTTAATATTCAATGAGAGTTAAATTATGGCAACAGTATAATTAATATTAAATGCAAAAAAACCTTAGAGAAAAGCAGGAATAACATAAGCAAATTTTAATGTCCAAATAAAACAGTATAAGTGGTGAGAAGGTTGAAACGGTACGTAAGAACATATTTTGTGGGATAATAAATATATATATATTTTTATGCAGGTTATGCAGCAGCGACGTGTCCGTTCCCTGGTGCCCCAGCGCATTCCCGCGTGGATTTCTCTGACGAGAGTCTAGCGGTGGGATGTGTCGCCACCTACACATGCGAACGTGGCTTCGAACTCCTTGGCCCCGCTAGGAGGATATGTGGACATGATGGGACATGGACGCCAGATGGTATTCCCTTTTGCGGTAAGCATCAAATTTCTTAATAAACTATTATTTTGTTCCTGCTTTGATACATCAAACGTATTAAAAAATCCATTGTTGACAAAATTAACTCCACTTTAGGTCAAATAATACTTGGATAGTTTCATGGTAGATATAAGAGATGGTATTACAAGAAATATCATAAAGTCGCGTTCGCGACGCGGTTTCCGCACGAAAACGTCGCTGCGCTGACCCACTTTTACTTTCATCGTCGAGAAATCACTTCACATGAGCCGTGAATGAATTCGAAAAAGCGGAAGATTCATTGTGGATCACTCCCACGGCTCTCTCTGTTCGGAAACTTTCCGACGCTCGTCGCTCCCGCCCTTTGTTACAAATGTTTTGCGAGACACTACCGGTTCCACCTCACATTACCAACTATATGTTATTGTATATAAACTAATTAATTTAACAAAACATACAATTTCAGAAACAATAGTAAAATAAAGAGAGAGAATCCTTAAGTTTATAAATAATCTGATTTAATCTTAAAAACAGTCAAATATAAATAAAAACTTGTTTATTAGTATTTAAAATCATAGCAAGTCTTGTCTTGTCTTTGAATACTGCAATGCATGTTATCTACAAAATGAAATTCATAGAAATGTTTTAATAAACCTCCTTAGTATTCTCTATTGAAATAATGTAAAATATACCGTACGTAACATGTAGTCTATGAATTTTAATGTTATTCGTAATTAAGTGTTAATTAAAAACAGAACGCAAAGCACTGCACCGGAACCGACACCTGACAGAAGAAGCCCTATGTAACAGTCAGTCAACAAGTGCAGTAAAAATCGGATGTTAACAAGTTTTTTTTCCTACGTTTTATTTTAATAGAATTAACGGTCATTGTAGGTCTTACTAAGAGTTGCCTCAGACGTAACAATGGCACAAAATCATAATTTTTTTCTTTTTAAAGTGAAAGAAAAGGATCACAATATTAGTGTACGTGTATAGGCTGTGTAGGTAATGTTTGTCAGTGGATACTCACGGTTAGCTAGGTAAAATGATACAACATGTGGTGTTCGGTTATAAAGTTTAATGTTGCGTACCCTGATGCACTACAGTTCAGATGACGTCACAACAGCTTGAACAGACAACAAAAAACTTAACGTCGTCATATAAAAAGTTAACGGCATATAAAAATTAAGGAATGTACGTAATGTTTTTGCGAGTTGTGACCATAGATCCTACGGGTAGCATTTATGTACAATTTTAAATAATTAATAGCTATTTTTAGAAATCAAAATATGTATATAATTTAATGTAATGTAATGTTATGCCGATCAATATAATATTTGACCCGGTTATGAGCACAATGACACCTGCCGCCCGCCGCTCGCCGGCCACCTGTGGGCTCGAGCCGATTGTAGTAAAAGAATAATTAAATAATAGCACGAAGCCATACGCGCGGCGGCCGATAGTTTTTGTACCGTTACTGAAGTAGAAACCGGAACACAAAAGTGTAGGGTTCTAAAACATGCATGAACATACTTTTAAATATATTCTGATATAAATACCTGTCCTAATGAATGATATTGGTTTATTTAACTATATTAAGTATAGTTACGTTATTTGAAAATTAGAGTCCACTTGTTCTAGCTAGCTGAAAATAAACTGGAAGTCTGTCTCGGCTTTGTATGGTTGGAAAATTATAATCATTTTCTATAATCATATAATTTATAACAATCGCCCCAGTGGTTTTTATAGAAAATGAACTTGTAAAATAGGGTTACTATTCTTACTTGTAGCTTAAAGTTAGTCATGCACTAGTCACGAAGTAATGTTTGTTTCTTCAATAAACACATAGGTGTAGAGCAGTGTGCGCAAGTCAACGGGTTCAATTAGAATCGATTTAAAATTGTAACTGTAAACCGTAAACATGACAAAGAATTCTGTAACCTGTCAACAGCGTCAATCAATAGAAAAAGAGTTTTTAGTTGTTCTATGATAATCCACCTTTATGGCAGCCATGGAATGGAAAGTAAAGGGAAATGTTAACAAGGGAATGAAATAATTGAAGAAATATTCTGTTTAACATCGTAATATCGTCCATAACATAACCTAACCTATTTCGTTCCGTAATGGATTATTGTTGAGTACAGTGTTATTGAACCATGTGATATCATAGGTAGGGTAATTAATAGGAGTCGGAAACCACCTGTAAGAGTGCACAGGGCGCGACAGAGTGTCACCGTTACCACAAATACTGCCTTACTTTACGAACGCCGTTAACCTTTAGGGTTGAACGAGTGGTAACCGTGATTTTAGGTTAAATGGTAGCTAGTTAAAAATTGTAACAACTTCCATTGCACATATAATAATTTAGTACTACACACTTCGTTTCCATGGTTGAGTTGAAACATTTATGCAATAATATACCACCATCCTTGTCATCCTCGTTGAAAAAACTGACATAACAATATGTGCTTATAATTTATACAGTTATCGTTGGTAATATAAACTCACAGGCTTAAGGCATATTCTACATATTGTTTGTGACATAAATAAAATAAAAATTATTCATGGAGTGTCAACCCTGAAAAGCGATAGTGCGTGCCCCGCTCTTGTTTACTACGAACGGTCCGCCTCAATGGGCACTTAACCATTCTTTAATGTTTAGCTTACGCCTTATGCCCTAGGTTCAATTCCCACATAATATTATTTAAAAAAGGTATTTTTCAGCTATGTATATTATATCTTCACATTGGTGCCTGAGACTCTGCTCTATAACTTTCATTGTTAATTCTATTCCAAGAATGAACAATTATTACTCTCTTTAGGTATGCCGTAGGTAGGTTAAAATATTTATATAAACAAAATAAAAGAAGTTTATGACGTGTCAATGTTAACAAGATATATTTAGTCTGCTCCCTGAGGTAAAATAAGAGTGTTAAATATAATAAATAAGAGTGCAAAACCGAACAAAAAAGCATCTAGCTTTCAACAACAATATTAAATATTTATATACACACAACAGCGGAACTCTTACTACCTGTTCGTAATAATATGACAAATGAAGAGTTAATCTATGAGGAGATAGATAGATATAGGCCTCTTATAGGTCAAACTCTTTAACAGTGAGGCCACTGACACTGAGAAATCATTATTTTTTTCTTTAACTCATACGCGCTTTCGTCAGTTGGCGCGAACTTTTTCCAAGTCGTTCCGCTTCGTCGATTGTACTTTCCATCTCAACAGCATTCGGCAGGTTTTATATTTGGTCCACTGCCACGAATCGTCAAAACAATGTAACTTACTATCATATTATCATCATAATTGCAAAGTATATAGCATAGTACAAAATTAAGTTAACTAGATCGGTTACAAGTTATATGACGTGATCACAAACTTAGGGTAGGCTCCGAGGCCCTCAGTGGGGACGTATAGTGAGCTGATGATGAATCACAAACTTTGTTAAAAAGATGATAGGACAAATAAGGATAGATGACAAATAGTTGGCAAGCCATAAAAAATTATAGATGGTTACGGAAGGACGTGGTCAAATGATCTTAATCGGCAGCTCACATGTATGACGAGGGGCTCGAAGTCTACTCAAATTAGGTCATAGAGTGTCGATGACGCAGTTGTTAACGGATTATCATACTAAAGATGTGTGAGATGTGAGCGCAGTGAGCGAGCAATGATTGCAATCGGCCACGTCACATTAACGACATGTCGTATGCAGTCGTCGTAGTTGACACTGGCGTCGGCTCTTGTACATCTCAGTGCTCAGTATTTGGAGCGGAAACTCTTGCTTCGCCTTACATTTCACTCAACTTGAGCGGATTATAATGACACCCGTACAGTCATTGCATTAAATAGTCACATTTACTTACAACTAATCGTCACAACTCGTTGACGTGTCGACCTTTTTTTTAACAAATCATTAAAGTGAAATTCCTCATTTCTGCATTCGTATTTTACATTTTAGGGAAACTTAAAGTAGTCGCCACTATGATCGGTTCTCGCAAAAGTACTCAAAATAATTAACTCATTGTTTATTGTTCTTTGACTGCTATTTCTTGTTCCAGAGTTCGAATTATCTTTACTTGTTCGTATTAGCATACATTATTAAAGTGCTAAACAAAAGCGACTACTGTGAAATTTATAGTTGCCATTGTTATATGTAAAAGTTTTCCACAGTACTAAACGTGGCGGCTGGTAAGGCGCCAATGCAAATCTCCACTGAAGAAGGCGGTGCTCCTCAGCGGGCGTTAGATGGCAGCACTTCCGCAGTGTTCAGTGCCGAGACCTGTACCCTCACGAAGACAGAGCGCGTGCCCTGGTGGTACGTCAACCTACTGGAGCCATACATGGTGCAGCTAGTCAGATTGGACTTTGGAAAGCCTTGTTGTGGTAGGTATAGATTTTGTGTTATTTAATCTCCCGTAAGGGCCAAGATATTACCTTGATCTTGACCTAAGTTTGTCAAATAGCGAACATATTCGTCTAAAGAAGCTTGGTTAGTACATTGTTTATTATTTATTAATATAATTATTTCCATAGAAAGGCACACACACATAGTAAAGTAAAACAG